CCATACAGGAGGCATCTTGAAGCTGTCATTGACAACAAAGGCTTTTGTACAAAGTATTAGATAAATTTCAGTAAGTGCGTTCAATACTTTTTCCCTGTGCCATTCCACATTATTATAAATAACTTCATTTCTGGACATTTATGGTTTGATTTCTTTGTATGTATGGATCACTTGGATTGTTACCGACATCCGGTGAAAATKYCATGTCATTAGCACCTCTARTAATATATTTACTCGGAAAAACGTTGACGTGTTCAATACTTACAGTATTTTACCCGCTGTAGATTCACCTGCAGATAAAACTACACACACAGTAGTTCAGTGTTTTCCACTTCATGGTAAATTGAATATAAGAATATCACACCATTCATCTCACACCCAGTCAGGAAACTGAACTTCCATCGGTCATTTTTTTATTCCGCTTCATGTTTTCTTTAAAAGTACAAGTATTGTTATTTTAACTTCAAACCGTGGACAGTGTGTCCCACATGTAATKTATTGTTCTCAGTTGCTCTGTTTGAAAGCTGTGTGGATTCAGAACACTCTCCCACTCAAGGCCACTGCTCATATTTGTGCACGTGTTGGCACATGGTCATGAATAGATGCCAGCAAGTGTTTATTTATGGATATTTGGATCATTTTTGGCCTATAACATCAGATAACTCCTCATTATTATTTAATACAAATAAGAAAAACAAACTTTTCCGAGTATTTTTTTGACAAAAAAAGCTATGTATTTTTTCAAAGCTTCCTGCCTTTTTAGCATTTATGAGAGTGTTTGTGCAGGGAAGCCGAAGAAGAATGATGAGGAAATGATGGAATGATCTTGTCGATCTTTTCCCCCTCTTCCGTTGTCTCGTTTTAGCTCACCATCTGGTGTTGTCTGCTAATGTGTGTGCTCGTTGTAGAACAAAGACGTTACACCACCTCTACATGCGTATGAGCTCTTACTCAGTTGCTCTTCAGAGACATCCAGCACATTCATACACAGTCCACGGTATCGCCTGTACACATCCTGCTGTGTCGGMTTCCCCGTTACACAAACACACCACAAAGTTACAACACATACATACAATAAGTATGGAACATTTATTTTCATGGAAAGGTGATTTTAAGCTAGAAAACAGCACTTTTGTTTTTGCTTGTTTGTTTTTGGAACATTACAGATAAAAAGTTTTATTGTATTTCTCTTTAAACACAATATAAAAAGTATGACTTTGTCTGACACATA